TCCTCTAAGGCAGGGGTTTCTAATTCAGTTTCAGTAAGGATTACATCAGGGTTGTGTTTGAGCTCGAGGGGCCGGGCTGGGCGTGGTCAGGGTCGGCATGGCCAGCCTGACATTACTCGTGTCGGGGGGGGCGCCTGTGGTGGCCCAAACGCTCTGCCAGCAAAAATGGGCTCCCAAGCTCCATTTTCGAGTGCGATGGCATCATGCAGCCCTCTACCAGCTAAAACAGAGCTCTGTGGGGGGCACGTGTGGCCCTTGCGAGCTCAGTTTTCAGCTGGAACAGCCTCCTACAACCCTCTGCCAGCGAAAATGGAACTTGGAAGGGCCACGTGCAACCCTCACGAGTTTTCGCTGGCAGAGGCACCATGGACCAGTCTTTCACTGTTTCCAGGGTAGCCTGCAGGCCAGATCAAAGCACCCCCCAGGCCAGATCCAGCCCCTGGGCCTTGAGTTTGACACCCCGATCTAAGGGCATCCCCTGAAAAGATCCTAGTAAATCATTGGTATGATTGTCCTAGGCCTCTTGGACTAGAAAAATATTTAGCAACAATAGATCTAAACAAAATCCAAGGTGAACTAGAAAAGAACTTAAAAAGTCCTGAAACATAACATCCTGAAATAATAGGAAATAGCCAGAAAGGGCAACTTTGAAATGCATGTTTTTAAAGGCAAAAATGAAGGAAGAGGCAGGTAACACTCAACAAGATGGAAAAGCATCTTGTATACCAAAATGAAGGGTTGGTACAGTTAATGGAAAAGCGTTAATACGAAGAGTAACCAAATATTATGTACCATAGTACAGTTTTTCTCATACAAGTGAGGAATTTATGATGTAATCCTGTTTATGTCTAAGTGAGAGAGATCAGAATGCTGTATTGGGGCTTGTTCCATGATAAGTGATTCATGAATACATTTACTATTTGCAAAAATGGCTAAAAGAACTCAGTTGAATCACATATTGTTTATTAGGAACTATTTACAGATGCTATAAATTCAAGGGATTTAAACACTTCACTGGTACAATGTAAATTAAGGTTTCAATGTCAGCTATGTAAATTTAGCTTGATAAAAAATAAATGCCTGCAGTTTTGTTAATAGTACTCAAGCATGTTCATATGGCAAGGCTTACATAATTCACTTTTTTTGCTGCTGGAACTTTAAGTCTGTATTTCTCACTGTTTTATTCATTAACTAAGTGTATCCTCTGAGTTCTTGTAGTAACATCACTCCTTCCTTTGAAGCTATCACTTCCTACTTCTTGTTTCCAAGAAAATGACTGATGCCTAGAAACTACAATGTGAATTCTTATTACTGGCCTGAAGTCTCATGTTTATTTTGCTGATAAGAATAATGTGAGGAGAGATCCTTAGTGTGCCACAGCTGACCAAAGGATGTACAAATAGCCAGTTACATGTAGCTCTATCTGATAAGTGGGAGGGGTGGCCACCAGTGTCCCCCTCTTCAACAAAAAGACAGATTACAGCTATAATCTCAGTAAATTTAATAGCAAGTCACTTGGGAACATTTTCAGTATTAAGATTACAAAAAAGCTGGTACAAAGTAAAGAATTATGAATGAACTAGATACAAATTTCAAAAGATCTATTTTTGTTTATAAACTGGACCTTTTTCTTATTTTAAAAACTGGTTCAGAATAGTTTATTTTTTATTTTAAGAGGGAAAGTATTGGACAATGGTAGCAAAACAATGATGTTTTCCTGTCTGTGGCTACAAAAGTCTGGATAGATTGGGTAATATCAGTTCCTGCTCTGGTGGACTGAGTCTGTGTGAAAACTATTGCTCCGCCTTTCACCTTGGCCATGCCCCAGTTTTTGACTCAGTCCAGCCAGGACAGGACGTGAATTGCGGAACTCCACTTGAATTATAAGTGGAGCCTTAAAAATCAAAGGAAAAAAACTTTTAAACTGCAGAGGCTTGGAGAAGCTTGCAGCCAAGTGAGTGAGGCTTTTTGGCCCCCAGGGCTTGGGGATCGCGCTGGGGTAGAAGCCCTAGTGCATGGAGCTGCAGCTATGTGGTTCGACTCCAGGCGATCAGCCTGCTAAGGGCACAGCATAGCAGCTTGCAGCAGCGGCTCAAGAAGCAATCAGCTCAAGGGAAGGCTTTGCAGCAGCGCAAAGCAGCCACTAGATTGGGCAATCGGCCTGGTCCCAGCTGGGGGGGTGCAGCCACGGGCAGTGAAGAGGCTGCAGGATAGCCCCCAGCTGAGGGCGCAATTGACCATGTTGCCAGTGTTGCGTTTGCAGCTCCAACACTGAGGTGATTGTGTGGGCACCTGTAGAGCTGTATGCATGTCCTAGAATTTTCTGTGTGACCGGCAGGGCATGGCTGCAGCCCAGCAGTTGCCTGTACAGGCTTGCTTTGCTAGTTTACAGGTCAAAAGACCAGTTGTTATTTTGGATGGGGCCTTACTGATAAGGGGGATGGTATAAGTTCTCCAGGTAATGAAAAGGCCTGAATCAGTGGTATCAGAATACTGAGATATAGAAGGGTCCTTTCATGGGTGAAGCAGAGAATCCTTAAGGTACAGGAACTGTCCTGACCCTTCCATACATAGCCTTACCTATAAGACATCTGAAGATGATAAAAGGGAGTTAGACTTTTCTGCTGATGAAGAAATGGCTCTAGAAAGACCTTCATTCACAGGTATATTTGATGCTCAAAAGTTCCGACCATTATTGTTTAAACAATAGTGCAGGAAGAGGGCCCAGTTGGGGCCAGGAGCTGATGTTGGAGAAGTGGAAGGGGCAGTGCACCCCCCCAGACCAATTATTTGATGAACCTACAGTTAGGTCTGAAATGGTTCCAGTTCCTAGATTATTCTTGAATGTCATCAAGAAACAAATAGAATCCCTGGGAATATCTGCCATGCTATCAGCCAATGAATGCCACTTCTTTACTATGGAACCTGAACTTTGCAGGTATCATCTGTGGATGGCCCAGTGGCAGCTTTGATTTCTTCCTCTTCGAACTATGCTATTCCAGTAGAGGCATTGAAGGCGGAGGACAAGAGGATCGAGCAATCCCTCCAACGTACCCATCTGGCGCCTTCCTGGGCGGTGAAGGCTGCTTCAGGTGCCTCCTTCTTTATGAGGTCTTCCTTAAGGTGGTGACACCAGCTTCAGGACACGGTTCCCGCCTTAGATTCGGGGTACACGAAGACATTCACAAACTAGTGGCTGCTGCTGAATTCACGCTGGATGCAACCCTAAACAGTGCCAGGTTTTCCTCTTAAGGCCATCACCACTTCGATAGCAGCCCGCAGAATGATCTGGCTTAAGAACTGGCAAGCTGATGGGCAACAGAAGTGGAAAGTGGCATCTTCCCCCACAAAAGGGGATAAATTGTTTGGGAAGGTCTTAGAGCTCCACCTGGTGGAGACCAGGAACAAGAAGAAATACCCCCCCTCTCTGACAAGGCGCTCCAGTTTCAAGGCTGCTCCATATGCCTGTAGGTCCTCTTTCAGAAGAGAGGGATCCTCTGGGTCTCAGGGGTCTCAGAGACAGTCCTTCAACCATCAGGAACATCCCCAAGAAAGAGCAGCCAGAGATAGACCCCAATTTTCAGGCAAGCAGCCCTTTCGTGGGAGAGGAAGTCACTTTTTCCGGTGCTCCCGCTGAATGTAGCAGTAGCTCTCCCATTGGAGGCAGGTTATTTCATTGCTCAATGGGAGACTACTACATCCAACACTTGCGTTTTGAGGACAATTAGACATGGCCTATTTCTAGAATTTAGATCACAGCCCCCCAGTTTTTATGTGCCTTGCCCAGTTTCCAAGGAGGCATCTCGCAGGAAACTGATGGAACAGGCCATCTACTAGATCAGGGGTGTCCAACCTTGGCAACTTTAAGACTTGTGGACTTCAACTCCCAGAATTCCTCAGCCAGCAAAGCAAAG